GGATATTTGCATGAGTACTTTAAAGTAGCGATGTATGAAGAGGCAACCCCAAATCCAGAAATGACTGATTTACAAAAGAAAAACAAGCATATTGAAGTATGCAATCTTAAATATTCCTGCACACAATCACAAGTGTTTTACATTGAAAAATATATGACAAAGGTTATTATTACTATTATTATATGAAGATTATGAACAATAATTTCTCGATAGGGGATTAAATCAATAATTAATAAATTATTGTATAGCTTACTTCAAAACACAGATTGAAAACAAAGTGGAAGTTCGAAGTTCCCAGGGAAAGTCACTCTGTTGATAAGAAAGTGTCCTAGATTTTGCCAGGAGATTTATGTGTTTTGTGCCTGGAGTGAATGACCTTGGTGATGCCATAAGACGTTTCACCCCCTGTAAGACTGAAATCACAAAGCATATACACTGAAGAAGGTACAGTCCCGTGCTATCCATAGGACATCACGGTAGACTTATGTGAGTGTCAAGCGCCATTTTTTCTGGATACAACATGGTTGCCAGATATAGGCCATTATAAATCATCCATATATCTTACAGTTATTTGAAATATTGAAAACAGTAGACAAATTCTATGCTTGAGAATATATTTTTATCTAATTTTTTTTTATACTCCAACTACCACGAAGGCCTAAACACCCATTGGGTACCGTGGGGCTATAGGGGGATACAGGGGAAAGGGGGAACGCCACACGGACTCTGGCGAGGGAACACGTGTGCATGCAACATGCACACATTCTGGCTCCGCCTACGAGATCCGCCGGGTGGTACCTCCACGTTCGACAGTCAGATACCATCTACCACCTACGGATAATCACAACATCCATAGCCAAGAGAAAAATTTCTCCTGGGACGGGACTCGAACCCGCACAGCGCACGGCGACTGATCAGGAGACCGAAGAGTCTACTGCTGCGGCCACCGCTGCTGCCTTTATATTGTATGAACATATCAATAGTATTTATGTTCCATCGCGAGCTTCTGGACTACTTCGAACGTCAAAGCTTGATTAGCGGCAGGCAGTATGGTTTCCGGCACCAACGATCCACAGGGGACCTCCTAGCTTACGTCACGCAATTGTGGAGGAAACTCATCCAGTCTTACGGTGAGGCTCATGTCGTTGCTCTTGACATTACGAAAGCATTCGATCAGCTGTGGCACGGTGCCCTCTTAAGCAAACTTCCATCCTATGGTCTCCCAGAAAAGCTTTGCCGATGGGTGGCTGAGTTTATCTCTGGCCGCAAGATATCCGTCGTTTGACGGGTTCTCCTCTTCATCCCACAACGTCAGCGTGAGTGTTCCACAGGGATCAGTCTTGGCTCCGACACTGTTTCTCTTACATATCAACGACCTCCTTTCCTGCACGATCAACCCAATCCACAGCTTCGCTGATGATAGCACTCTATATGCAGGAATTCAGAGTGACGAGCCGATTTCTGCCGCTGAGCTGGAAAAAAGAAGACTAGCGACGACTTCTTCTCTGACAAGAGACCTGGAGGCTATCACTGCTTGGGGACGCAACAATCTTGTACAGTTCAATGCTTCCAAAACACAGTAATGTACTTTGACGAACAAAAAGCGTCCTAGCGCTCATCCGGTTTCGATGGATGTCCGAGTTCTGCCAAAGAGTCATTCATTTCGGGTGGTCGGAGTGCAGATCACCGAGGACCTGATCTGGCACGAACACATTTCATCAATAGCTGCAGTTGCTGGGAAAAAGCTAGGCTACTTGTTTAGGGCTAAGAAGCACTTTTCTCCGCATGACCTTCTCACTCTATACAAGGCCCAGATAAGGTCTAGCCTCGAGTATTGCTCACACGTTTGGGGTGCTGCCGCCCCGACTACATTATCCATGCTCGATGCTGTCGAGAGGAGGGCGGTCCGACTGATCGATGACTCTTCTCTAACAGACAGTCCCGGGACCCTTTCGCACCAGCGGGCCGTCTGCAATCTAGCTCTCTTCTACCGCTACACCAACGGGCTTTGCTACTCGGAGCTCTCCTCCATGATGCCGCCACGCGATGTGTCTGCTGGACAGGCCCGCCTGACTTTGTCCTCCCACCCTAACCGTCTCGAACTTCATACATCCAGAATTGGCCGATACGACCGCTCCTTTGTTCCAGGGGTATCTATATTGTGGAACAATCTACAAGAGGAGGCTTTTCCTAGTTCTACTAACCTTAGGCAGTTCAAAAATCGGATTAACAAAGTTTCTTTGGGATCGTCATGTCAGCCGCGGTGTTTTGGCATTTAGGCTTCTGCCTGGGTGGCTGCTTTGGTGTACAAAAATGTCATCGGACGGGGTAAAAAATTGGGCATGGATGAAAGACAAAATTGTCCGCGTTCATTACTTTACCCAGCAATCCGATCGGTCGGCAATCAGACAGAAATATACTAAATTATATCACAAATGTCAAACATGTCTTGCTTATGTAGCTAGGTCACACTAAAAGTATTGTTGTTTGTAGCTTTCAGCTAGATATTGCAGAATAAATATTTCTCCTTTAGAATCGCCTGGATTGAAAAACTTGATGTATCTGAGCATCTATGTCGTAATGATTGAAATTGAGAAAAATGGGTCTGTGAAGTGCATAACAACATTCTTTATGAAAGGCAGATATACTATAACCAATTTAATCTGCTTCACTCAATTTTTCTCTGGAGTACCAAATGCCAACGTACAAGTAAATGTCATTTACACCAATTTTAGTTAAGCATATAAAAATGTATCTTACTGTGTATTACATTACTTTGTTTATCTTGGTGTATTCTCACCAGCAATTGATATATTTGTTGGTGGTATATAAATAAATAAATAAGCGTCAGAATAAGTAATTTACATTTCCATGTATGCAGTGCTTTTCAACCTCGACCTCCATATATTTTTAGAACGGATCAAGTTATAAAGCAGAGATTAGGGGCAATGAATTTGATGCATGCATGGTGAAAGTTTTAGCGTAAAAGTGGCTGTTAGAATTTCAAGATGGTGGCTGGGCGCCATTCTGGAATATTTTTTAATTGAAATGAATGGTCGTGTGATACCTCATTTTTAAGCCCCTTCTATCTATAATCCTAGAATATAAAATCACTATCTCTTAAAATGGCAGACTGACAGGCTGTCAAAGTTGAGCGTTTTTGTACATGAATCGCTTATAACTCAACAACTAATCATGAAAACGTTTTAGTATGTTACATCAATCTTCTTGTTTTGGCAGGGTCTATGTGAATATGTAATAAAATGTGTAACATTCAATTTAAAAAAATGTCATTTTTTTAAACGGAACGATTCATATTTTATTGCTCATTCAGAGAGATCCTTTTAGAGGTATTTAAAATGGAAAACTGAAGAGCGGCATGGGTATCATGTAAAAAAACCTATAAAATGTCGTTGTGAACGTCCATCTAAGGAGGAATCACTCAACTAAACTACACGCATTATTGGTTGCATATGTTTTGTGACGCCAAATGGTCATTGTCTGTATTTTTATCTCTGAGAAGAAAGTAGGTTGAATAGCAAGATCGCATCTGGATGATTATGTGTATTGGTCTGCATGTATATAAAATCAGTGATACTTGCTGTGCGAGAAAATCATTACTGAATATGCTGCCAATGAAGTATATCTATTGGCTGAGCCCGACGGATTATTTTTATGTTGTGCTTTCTGAAGAGAGGTTATGTTCAAAGTTATAAATTACGAAAAACTGAGGAGAATTACGGGAAATCATCACCGCGCCCACGTTGTGTGTAATTACTGTTAGCATGTAATTCGACAGTGTACAGTGAATATAGTTATTTCTTATCTCTCTCATTTTTTAAATTCAGCAAATTTGTATGTATGTAATTTCCAGAATTGTTAAGAAAAAGTGGATGCGCAACTAATTTCTAGCTTTGAATCTCAATTAAGTGTATTTGAAACGAGACAAGAACCCAATGTAATTATCATCAACATATATAACTTCAGCTTAGACCTCCAGTAATGCCATCTCAGAAGCAGATTTTACATCACATTAGAGCCAAAGATTGATAACAATCTTAATGACGTTTAGGCAACTCGTAGAACTAAGTGCCAAGTTCACACCTTGTGTAAAAACCTACATAATGTCAAAAAACCAGCATATGTCAAAAAAATCGGTATACTGTCACTTTTCAAGATACGTGATACCCGTGCGTCTCCTGTACCAGAGCTTCTGACAACGAATGCCCTTATGGCAATTTTGAAGAGCGGGAGGTGGAATCGATAATTGGAAGTTGAAGAGCGGTATAGGGGTCGCATGCATCAGTGCTTCTGAGAGCGAATGTTCTTGTGACAATTGAAGAGCAGCAGACAAAAATTATACATTGCTTCGCACTCCAAATCAATTTAACGTCTCCCAATGTCCTTTAGGCTCTTTACCCCACCTCCTCCTCCCGCCCCCGTACAATTACGTGCAGGAAATATTGTTCTGTATGTGTCAGATAGGATACAATTCTACTATCCTAGTATGATGCGGTCCCAAGTGATTGAGCGAGGGTTCAAATATCGAGCGCAATATATTTTGGGGCGGAAGGTCTTACATTATTGATTTTTGAAAGACCCAATTTTCTCAGACAGATCTGAGTCTAACCACCTATGGGTGTCCTTCATGTTAGTGAGCTTTCAGGTAAACTATCAATAAAAAAAATTATTGGATGCTTAATTTTTATTTCAATGTATAGAGCTATTTATATGTATAACAAAATAATTTTGTACCTAATCACTAAGTAAAAGATCTGGGTTTCTATTTAAAAAAAGGCATATTGAAGTTACAGAAAACTTAAATAATTCTTTATGAAAATACTTCAAAAATATTCTAATATTGTAATATGAGATAACATTATTTCAAATATGGACTCAAGCTGCTTAAAGGTTTTGAAACATATTTTTCTGTTATTGTATCCTCTTTGTGAAAACTGAAATTAACAAAATAAATCGAATTTTGGCATATCGCCAAGTCAGTAGAAAATACATAATTATGGCAGATACTGATAATTTTAAAGGAAAGTAAAACAGTACACAAAAAAGGGTCGAAGTAGAAAGTTTTGGTGTAATTGTTTTTATTGGTTTATTCTATGTTTTTTTGGGGTGCTGAATACGAATCTGAAGTAGTCCAACAAAAATTTGCTCAGCAAATATGAGACATCATCAAAAAACCACTAAAAATCATGTTTTTTAGTGGTTTTTAGCTTATAACTTGCAAAGCAAGCTATTTATGCAAAAAATGGTTATTTATCAAAATAAAGAGGAGAAAATTTCCTATAATTTATCTCTCTTAACATTTTTTCGAACGTTGTATGGTTTCCACACAAAAGAGTGCTGAAATATGGGAGAAATCAGTAATTTTTGGAAAAAAGCAAAAATAATGAATGAATCAATGCAATTTTCCCTTTAAGTGAAAGAATTCATCTGCAGCGCCACGTCTATTTCGATGTTCGGTTCGACTAGGCTGACTGGAGGGGGTATGCGTGAACGTCACGTCCTCATGCCTTCAGTTACTCAGTTCATTCACTGCGCCAGTTATATTCGTTTCCGAGTATTTTCGTTGAGATACAATACAACAACTCTTCACAATGTCCAGTGATAAGTGTTTTATTTGTGAAAAACATTTAAGTGAGGGTCCGGTGAAAGTGGTAAAGGAAAAAGGAATAGAGACTTTATGTGATGCTAGCAAAAAAGAAATGATAGGAAGGGAGTTGTTTTGGCGGGTAAAACATAGATGTTTCATGTGAGAAAAGTTACACAAATGAAAAAATGATAGCTGCTTACCTGAACAGGGCTGCTCAACCAAGCACATCTTCGGGAAAACTAAGATCATCCTCTGACTTTTACTTCAACAGATTGTTTTGTGTGCGGAACACGTATTCCTGAAGATTACGCAAGGTCACAACAACGACTGCCTCATCATAAACGTAATTTGGTACATCAGGTGATGAAAATAGAGATGAAAGATACAGTTATGAAACAGGCTCAACTACGTGGAGATGATTTTGGTGCAGCAGTTATCCAGAGGATCCAGCCGATAACAGATATGGTGGCTGCTGATTGTCAGTACCACGATAAGTGTTTAAAAAATCTGTTTAGTAGGCTCAAGGTTAATGAAAAAAGAAAGTTGGCCCTCATGCTGAAGGGATTGAGAGGGCTATGAATGACATTTTCACTTTTATGGAAAGTAATGACGAGGAATGTCAGTTTTCATTAGACCAGCTAATGACATGGATAGAGGGCGACTATATCCCCCAAAGAAAAACTGTAATACAACATTTACTAGAGAGATATGGGGAAGATGTTATCATATCAAAGATCAAACATAATATAATTATATGTTTTAAACATACTGGCCATAAGATTTTGACGGATGCTTGGTACATTGAAAAACGTTTATCAGAACGAGAAAAACGTCTTTGAATAGTTGAAACAGCGGCTGATGTAGTATAATTCTTGAAGATATAAGATCAGTACCGTATGCGATGGATGACTATCCTCCTCCAGATTCTTTCTTGGACGAAAATGAAAGCCTTGTTCCGGAGGTTCTCAAAGTTTTCTTGGAAAGATTAAGACTAAAAAAAAAACGAGGAAATACTGACAGGTGGAAAACAAAAGTTCTAGCCACTGCACATAGTGTTATTAGTGCTGTCAGGCCAAGTTTTTTCATTTCGCCCTTACAAATTGGGCTATCTGCTTTTTTTATAAGAAGTATGGATCACGAAAACTAATTGATGTTAAATCATCTTTGGGATTTTGCGCTTCTTACTCCGAAGCTGTTCGACTTGAAGTGTCCGCAATCATGAGACCATCACTACAAATACATCCAACAGGTTTCCATCAATTTGTTCATGACAACGCAGATTTCAACACTCGTACATTGGATGGATATAATACCTTCCATGCAATGGGGGGAATACATTAAATCATCCCTAGAGAAGCTGTTGCTCCATATCAGAGAATCGTACGAGGAAAGAAAACAATACCAGCTCAACTAGTTGGTGAGATGGGAGCTGTTTCCTTGAAATATTTTGAGAAAGCAGGTGCTTTGTTTCACCTGATATCATCACACCCTCTTTAAAATACCTGATTTGGCTTTATAGCAAGTGGAAAGATGTGCCCGGGAGCCAGGATGGAGTGGTTTTATGGAGCAAATCACAAGTGGTCTTCCCTTTGACAGAACATATGTTGCTTGACTGCCATTTATAAATTCTTCACCATCTGATTACAATACAGTATACACAGCATTACTGACTTCAATGCAACAGAGCAAATCGATGAATCAACAAGCAACTATTAACACCTTTGACCAGGCTCTATACCTAAAGGCTAGATTTATAGTGGCTTGGCAACCCCGACTTTGATAATGCCATCATTAGAATAAGTGGGTTTCACCTGCTGATGTCATTCTTGAAGACTATAGGCTACTTAATGGATGGTAGTGGACTGAAGGAGTTGTTTAATTCAATATATGCACTACACTCAATAGAGAAAATCCTTAAGGGACAGGCTTCTTCGAGAGCTATTTGAGTACATTTGTTAGCCCATGACACTTTGGCGAAAATTATATTTGAGACAATGGATTTAACCTCAGCCCTTCAAGAAAAACTTGCAGATTTCCTGAACGATGAAGACAGATCACATATTTTGTTAGCAAACGAAAAAGAGTGTGTAGAAGAATTAAAAACCAAATTTTCTGAAATGCTTCAAGCTATAGCTAACCGTGGTGCTACTGCAAAGCTATGGATTCAATACTTCGAAATGGTTACGCTTGTTAAACTATTCATTGAAGCTGAAAGAACAGGAAACTGGAATCTCCATCTACAAGTCGTCTACCAAATGCTCCCGTACTTCCATGCTAGCGGACATTTTCTGTATGCCAGATGTTGTCACCTCTACCTACAAGACATGCACAGTTTAAAAGATAAAATGAGCGCTCAGGAATACGAAATGTTCACGGGTGGCGGGTTCACAGCACGAAGGACTAGCAAATTCTGGTGTGGAACATGGACCGACATGACCATTGAGCAGTCCTTAATGAGGATAATGAAAATTACTGGAGGGCTGACTCATGGTCGTGGGGTTAGTGAAAGTATCCTCTGTAAGTGGACTAAAGGAATGACTTCCCTTCAAAATATTTGTGAGGAAATGGAGAAGATGTGTGGAGTAGCATTCACTAGCTCAGAACAGCATGTGGAGATGAGAGAATCAAGAATTAAAAGGGATACAAGTGATTCGAAAAATTTTATGGACTGGTTTACGCAACACCATCCTTTTCCTAATGTTGGAGACATCTTATCTCTTACCACTGGTGTTGTAGGAGATAGCACCATAAACTGTCACATGGCCAAAGCGTTTGGACTTCTCTCAGTTGATAGGATTGTGGGCGGTGATTTTGAAACTGTCATATTCTACATGAAAGACAGATTTTTGCCTCTTGCTACGATGAAAAATGCAATCAAAATAAGTGATGAAACCATCCCCAAAGAATCACAATTGCTAAACAATCTGATGAAGAATTTGAAGAATTCTTAAAATATGAACTGTGCCCTTATCCGTTGCCTCTTTTCGACGACTATGGTGTGAGGAAAGGAACCAAGTCTACTTTATACAAGGCATTCACACCAACTGAAGAGGCGAATCTCCAAGGGTATGTGTACATCATAGATGGAGGATATTTACTGCACCGAGTCGTGTGGACCGGGGGTCAATCATTCTCATCCATTTGTGAAAGCTATGTTGCATTTGTCAAGTCCAGGTACAAAGACAGTGCTGGAGTTGTCTTCGATGGTTATCCCCAAGAAGGTACTAAATATGCTGAGCGAGAGAGAAGATCACGCAAACAGATGTTAGTAGATGTCATGTTCGACAAAACAATGATCCAGACAATGGCACAAGAAAAATTTCTAGGCAATATAAAAAACAAAATCCGTCTCATCTCAATGTTAAAGGACAGCTTTGCTGCAGGTGACATTCACACAAAGCAGGCCCAAGAGAATGCAGATACTCTTATTGTCACCACAGCAATGGATTTCGCTTAGCAGCGTAACTGTGTACTTATTGTCGGTGAAGATGTAGATCTGCTAGTGATCATGATTGGTCGTTATCGGGGTGTACATTGAAATATATACTTTCTGAAACCAGGTAAAGGGACAGCTCATGTTTTCTCCTGACTGCCATCCAGACCAATCCATCAGTGACAACATATTGTTTTTGCGCGCCATGGGGGGATGTGACACAACTTCAGCCTCGTTCAAAGTCGGAAAAATGAGGTTTCTTCAAACCCTCAAGAAAAACCCTGCCCTAACCAAGACCATTCAAATTTTTAAAGATCCTACGGCACATGCTGATGCTGTTACTAATGCTGGTCTTACCTTTTTCACTGCATTGTACAAATTCACTGACAAGGAAAGCGCGTCCTTGAACAAATTGAGGTATAAATGCTACCTTAGATCTGCATACAAAACAACAGCACATTTGGCGTCTCTACCTCCTACCGAAGCTGCAGCACAGCAACATCCTTTGAGAGTTTACTTTCAAGTACAACAATGGCATGGAAATGAAAAGAATCCTGAACAATGTGGTTGGAAGAAAACCAAAGGAGGTCTACAACCAGTAACAACATTACAGCCACCAGCACCAGACGCTGTATTGAAACTAATAGCTTGCAAAAATAGCTTGCAAATGCATAAAGACCTGTAAGACCAACTGTGGATGTAGAAAAGCTGGCCTTAACTGTTCCAGTATGTGCCTCAACTGGGAGAACAACTGCAATAACATGCCTATTGCAGAAATTGAGGAAGAAGCAGAGGATGATCCGGAGTTACTTGAAGGTAACTGTGCATGGATAATTCTATCTTACCATCATTTATCTACTCTCTATTTATTTGTGTGTCAAAATATGTTTCTACTGCTTTCATATCTATTCAATATGTTGACAAGTGTTTGAAATTTGGTCTCTTATTTGTTTCAGGCGTTGAAGAACTGGATGCCAGCCCTGAGGAAAGCATGGAACCGATAGATAGATAGGTACTTATAAATTGATATTTTTCATATCTATTCAATAAATTGTTGAATATTTTGTCAATGATTTTTGTTTCAGACCTAGAAGAACTGGAATGCTGCCTGCTGAAATCCTTTAACCCGGTGTCTAAGAGAATTAAGTATTAGGTCATAAATACTGAATTGTACTGAAATTTGCCTCTTGTATTAATCTATCAAATAATGTTCACCTACATAAAATAAAAAATATAAACTAATGATGTCTTCTGCTATCTTTTTTTTATTTCTCCCATATTTCAGCACTCTTTTGCGTGGAAACCAATGTTAAAACACATAAATTATAGGAAATTTCCCCCTCTTTATTTTAATAAACAACCATTTTTGCGTAAATAGCATGCTTTGCAAGTTATAAGCTAAAAACACTAAAAAACATGATTTTTGGTAGTTTTTTGATGATTTCTCATATTTGCCGAGCAAACTTTTGTTGGACAACTTCAGATTCGTATTCAGCACCCCAAAAAACATAGAATAAACTAATCAGAATAATTTCACCTAAACCTTCCACTTCAAACTACCGTTTGATTAGACTATTATGAGTCTCTTCACAGCACGAAACCAAAGTGTTGTGCTCCCATGATAATATTTACTCGTCGTCTTCCGTCTCGTCTCCATCATCTTCCATTGGTTCTACATCATCTTCAGCTGACTGTTTAGTCATATCATCGGCACCAAAAGTGACTTTTTCATACTTGCTGTGAAGCGACGCTACAAACTTGGTAACATTTGCACGAACTAGTTTATTTGTTACATTCTGGAACGCACCAAAACTCAATTAGCGTATTAGGATTGACCGACAAAAATTCGCTAGTACTAAAACTCTAAGGCGTTATTCTCACCAATAGCAACCCGACAGCAACTCGACTTCAACCCGATTCCATCTTGTTTTGAGGTTGAAAGAAAATTACTGATTATGCGCTTACTGAGACGAATATGGGGGGTACAAACAGACTACTGTTATCCTCAAACACCATGACTGAGCGTATAAGTAAAGGATTTTACCAAAAAATCTATCCAAATCTATTAGTCAACATATGGGGTATTTTTTATTTACGAATACCTACCTAATAAATAACAAATATAATCTACAGTGAACGATTTGCGGGAAGTGACAACTTGTATCCAAACATACTTTTAAAGGCTGATGATCACTCGTACAACATTAACTTGCTTGTTACAATTTTTGTACCAACTGTAGTTCTGAAAGGTTTGCAACAATGCTTCTCCAACTGAATCACTCCAAAGAACGTAAAAATGCTCTGGAGAAGTACTTTTATCGGATTATCAATGACTTTTTGAGGACACGATCAGTACATTAGCCGAAGTGTAACAATGACATACAAAAGTCGAAATCGGGTTGAAGTCTAGTTGCTTGGTGAGAACAGTGACTAATGAGTGCATATGTTTTTAACTTACGACGTAAACATGTGAGGTTTACGTGAGTAGATGTGTATGTGTGTCTTTGGTATCTTAATTACTTTGAGATGTTGGGAGTTCATACTTATGCAACGTGAGAAAAAAGAGATAAATACTAGAGATATAGCACTTACGTCTTTGACTTCATCACAAAGTTCCATCAGGTACTCCAAAAACTGCGCATCCGGTGGTATGTCAAGATTTAGAAGAAGTTTAGATAGAAGCAACTGCGTTTTAGTATCGTAAGTGTCCCTAATTCTACAGCAGAAGTCTGTTCCTAGTACGGCTTGGATTTCCATTTGCTGAAAAAAATGATGGACATAAATACGTTTGTTCCAATTACTGGAGTTTCGTGTTTATTGCGTGAAAATTTTCTATTTGACCAGCAACCGTTGCTGTTAAGCATACGATTCGTACTAGGTACTGGCCAGGCCAACAGTCTCCAAAAGCGACTTGTATAAATGATGCTATTGATGAGTATATTTGCTGGACACTTTGAATGTGCCAGAGGTCTTTGGGGAAGAGAATACTTACAGTATTTGCCAAGATATTTCAACATAATCTGAAGTCTATTTAAGTATCCCTTGTGCTATTCTTGTACTGCTGACAATAGTGAAACTGTTGATCAAAAATAGCGTATCAAAACTACAGGGTGACCAATAAGTAACTGATTGATTTGTTTTTCCAACATCTTTAACGTTGAATGAAATGTGCCAATTTTTTATCTAAATCTCTACAAGCGGCTTAAACCTGAACAATCAATATAAAACAATGAAAACTGACAAAACGTGAAAAAAATGTATAAAATGAACGGACGACATGTCAACTGAGTAGCATGCCTTTTTGAGCAGAAACTGCTTTAAATTGGGTCACATTTACAGCAACTTTTATATAAAGCGGTAGTGTATTAGACAGTTTCACACCCATTATATTGGGTGATTTGGATGTTATATCAAGCAAATGACACATCCAATAGCTCCTTGTGCTGCGTGTATACTAGTTTTTGACAACGAATGTTTGTTTTTATGGTCACACAAACAAACTTCATAATTATAGATTGTATTATATGTAGTACTGAGAAAATTTCCCGACATGGGCGTCTGCATAAAACACCAGCAATAACCGTTAGAACTTGTTTTGAGCTTGAACCAGAGCTTTTGCTAATGATGTTTTCCCGAAAAACAAATCCCGCAGGGGTATTACGTATCTTGAAAAGAGATATTGTAATTTTTTTGACATTATATAGGTTTTTAGTGACATTATGTAGGTTTTTTCTACAAGATGTCAACCTAGCACCTAAACCCTATTCGTAGTCCATTTACGCCCCGGCACAACAAAGATGCAGCGCGGCAAACCGGCAGCAGCCTAAGTATTGTAATAGCTATTGGTCATTCGGCCATAAAACTGCGAACAAGTGCAGGATTCGACATGATAGAACTCAGGCTCGGAGTATCCCCGGCACGCCGACGTTGCTGTTCATATTCGGTGCATACATAGCGTGTGTTTATACGTTAGCCCGTCGGCTACGGATACAGCAAATGAAACTGAGAATATTTCTCCCAATGCTTCCTTCAACCATGCTTCCTCTTCAGTGATGTCTCCTCCCCGAAAACGTGACAAGAAGGGACATTTTATATTCAGGCAATAGAAATTGTCCTTAACGTTTATAAGAGCGAAATTCTAGAATATCCTGAAATGAAAATGTATGATATTGGAAGAGGTGTGGCGAACAAAACAGGCTTATGTCCTAAGACAGTTTTCAACATTGTTAAAGAATATAAAAAATCAAAAATTGTTTGTCTCCGCCATACAAGAGGCTGCATTACACGAAGCTGTTGAATACAGTTGATAACTTTGATCGGAATGCCATCAGACGCTAAGTCAATCAATTTTTTGAAAGGCGGGAACTTCCCACCATAGACAAAGTATTACAGGAGGTTAATAGTAATGAAGACTTACCTACTTTCAGTATAGAAAACGGGGCAGAAATAGTATTTTGATGGGCAGCCAAGAGATTATTTTATGTATAAGAAATTATTTAAAATCAATAATCAGGGCAGGAAGATTTATTACTTGGATGAAACCTAGATAAATGCAGAACATTCAAAACCTAAACTATGGCCTGACTCTACAATCAAATCAGCAAGATAAGCCTCTTAGATTGGCTAACCACTGGTCTAAAGAATGTTGTCATTTGAGTTGTAAAAAGTAGACTAATGGTTTGTTCGTACAGCCTATTGGCTGATAGTCAGCAAACTGATAGTCGGCGATAAGTCATGACCTAGTTTATTCAGTTAGCTGTCACTGACACATCACTGACTGTACGGGAGTGCTTGAATTTTCCTCTAGAAGGCATAACAAGGAACACTTTCTAGACGAAATAACAGCACCAAAAAATGTCAAGTAGATTCACTTAGTAATTCCCATTCAATTCTCATTTAAAAAGTATGGGCATAAATTTGGAAGAATATGATTCCACACATCGAATGACAAGTTGAAAAAGCAACAAGTAAGAATTCTGAATAAACATCTGCGATAATTATGCATGAAAAATGTATTGTAAATATGTATGTTTTTATAAAACTCGAATAGTAGGGTATTTGTTCTCTGTCCCCTAACAGTTGTCGCCCAGCCTTGAAGTGTATGTACAAACAGTATGTATATGCTAGCTCCAGTCCAACCCAAAGCTGATACAAAAAAACCAAATTTTGAAGATTTTGTGATACAGCTGTTTTCAAAAGGGGGGAGGGGGGCATGTGGCCGACTGTCTTTGAAAATGCCGAACTGTCAGGCTGTCGAGATTGAGTATTTTCGATATTGAACTAAATACGAAGATATTTTTCAAACTATCCGCCTACATAGCAATGATGCTGGCTGGAGTGAAAATAATATTTTCCCTACATGTGCAGAAAGAAGTAAAAATACTACAAGGATTTAATCAACTCTTTGAATAACAGAGGATGAATATACACTAAAAAGCTAAAACGGCTGAGCATAATTACAATTACCGAGATTTGCTCACATACCTATAAGTTTCACAGGGTTCAATATCCATCGAAATGACTCTGTCCCCGCTCGAGACACGATCTTACGTTGGATTAATAATTTCCGCATATGAGGATAGATGATGAAAAAACACCTAGTCGCCAGCGTACTGTGCGTACTGAAGAGAACGTTGAAAGGGTACTGAAGAGCCCAAGCCGCTCTGCTCGTCGTCATTCGATAGCACTTTAAATCAGCAATCGGACTGTAAGACGGATTTCACATGGCGAATTACATTTTCATCCATAAAAAAAGCGGTTGTGCAGGAACTAAATGTAAGAGATTACCCCCAACGCTTGGACTTGGCTCAACAAATACTTGAATTTATGACAAAAATAAAAACCTTTCCTTAGTTATGAGTTATGAAGAACATTTCCACCTTAATGGGGCCGTCAAAAGACAAAACTGTCGTTACTGGGCTGGCGAAAATCTGCGAGAATTGCCTGAAAAGCCACTCTACTGCCCTAAGGCAACAGTTTGGTGCGCGGTGACAAAATTTGGCGTCATTGGACCATCTTTTTTTGAAGAGAATTGGGTTTCCGTTACTGTAATATCTGACCGTTACATTAATATGGTTAACAGGTTTTTGATACTTGCCTTACAAAGAAAAGGCGTGGATATGTTACTGCAAAAGCCCGAACTGTGGTAAATCCTAAGATTTTCTGGTAAAACCTCAATGGTAAAAGTCCGAACGTTCTTTTATTTCGAACTTTTACCACCATTTAATTGGTAAATCTTAGGATTTACCATAATAACACGGTAAAAGTTGATAAAGACATGTCATAACGTGTTCAATAGCACTCCGTGTTGTAACAAATAATATTTTTCTTACTAAGTACCTAATAATTAATGACGATCGTCTTTTTTTTCAATTTGTTCGTAATTACCAAATTATAAGAAAAATACTGATTCAGTGAGATTCAATTAGCCAACGTAAGCGTTATGTTTGTGAGAAGATATGATACACATAAATATAATATAATTTTATGGCCTCCCCGGTCCCCTGACTTATCCACATGCGATTTTTTTATGGGGATACCTTGAGTCGTGTGTTTACGAGACCAAGCCACGTATGTTAGATGCATTAAAGGAAGCGATTCGTCACGAAGTTAGTTTGATCAATAGAGATCTACTGGAAAGAGTGGAGGCAAGTTTTTGAGAACGACTTCAGCAATGTGTCATCAAAAAAGGTCATTACATGCTAGATGTTAGTTTCCATTCATGAATATCTTAAAATGCTTGATTCTTACCTATATTGTGTTACCAATAAAAAAAGTGTAGAGTAAAAACTTTTGTTGGTATTTTTATTATTTTAAAAACACTTGGTTTCTATGCCCCACCCTGTATATCTTGACATGCGCACTGAAAACTGCGAATTTTATATTAGACCTTATAGTCCTATAAAACTGGGGGCAACTTATAGCCGAATATATGTACGTATAATTGACTTGACAGCGCAACAATACAGCGCCGTCACTATTCTCTGCCACATCACTTAGGTCTGATGGATGAATTTTGATGTTATTATTATCACACCAACCTATATAGAGTAGCATCCTTTTTTTATTAATCTAGGGTGCTTTTCTTTAATGTCCCCCTCCTCTTTGATTTTTTGAACGGATCAATTCAAAAAATTAAAACTTGAGGTAATGAAATTGATGCGTGGATACCATATATTAGAGTAAAATTGACAGATAAAAATGTCAAGATGGCCGCTGGGTGTCATATTGGAAAAAAAATTATATGTCTTGTAGCACATCATTTTGAAGCTCCTGACGAGTACTTTATAACCCTAGAATATAAAGTCAATACCTTTACCTACTACGAAATGGTGGTACATTTAATAATTACCGGAATACATTGACATTTAACTTGACAATTCGAATAAATACGTTGAGTTCAGTTTAGAAGATGCTGGAAATGGTTGGCTTGAACTTCTTGACACAATAACAGCCGGTCCGTTATTTCGCGTCGAACATTTTCAAACATAGTAACATCGATATTTCTACAAATATTTGCTATTCTCAGCCGTATATCCAATATTGAAGCATGTTCAGTTTCGTACATCTTTTGCCTCAAATAGCCCCATAAAAAAAGTCTAAAGGTGTCAAATCTGGCGAGCGAGCTGGCCATTCCACAGGACCTCGACGGCCAATCCAACGACCGGGGATACTGTTATCTAAATAATTCCTAACTTGTCTTTAGTAGTGTGGTGGAGCACCATCTTGCTGGAATAGAATATCAGTATCGAATTCATTAG